CATGTTTGGCACTGATCACCACCTGCACTCATGTATATATCATGTATATATCTATCCACTTAGCACTTTTAATTCTTATTCTTATTTTTATATTTTTTCTTATTCTTATTTTTATATTTTTATGACAGTATGTTTGCACTGAAGCACCGCAGCAATTTCCTAATGTTGTAAACCTGCTCAACATTTGGCAATAAAACCCTTTCTGATTCTGATTCTGATTCTGATTTTAGAAAGGACATGCAGGCATTCTGATATTTCCCTCTGCCTTATTAATGTAGATTTCTTTTTCAAAGTTCAAGTAGGGAGTTTATTAAATACCAGCAACAGCAAAATCCATGAATTTGTCCAAAGGATACTGTCCATATTGTCGCACAAGAAGCAACACAAGTGGCTCCATTAATCACATTAATCACTCAGAGAATCATGAAGACAGAATCTAAACCATATGAACTTTCTTTGTTGGCATCACAGTAAGTTACATCTAATTGAGGTAGGTACTGTATAATAACACAGATTCATACTGCACACAATGTTACGCCCCAGTCTAGGGGTACAGGAACATAAGATAAGGGTTAGAAAGGAAGTGACCCTGCCCTGGTCCCCAAAACCATAAACTAATCTTTGAAGGGAACGGTGGTTTATGTGTCTCTACACTGAAAAGTTTAACTCCAGGGTGAAAAAAAGGCCAAAATAACAATCAAATCAAGCTAAGTTAGGAAAGGAGGTGCTATGTAAAACCCTGTGGAACAAAAACCAAACAAAAGACACATGCTACACCTAACTCACTAACTGAAACAAACAGGAGAAAACGGTACAAGAAAATAATAAGGCAGCTCACCCTTTCTGTTTCAGTGTCTATTTACAATGTACTATTTACAAGTGAAGACTAATTTACACACTATATACAACGCTCAGTAAATCTCAGGAACCACACACAAATAACACAAGGTTTGGAAGCCAGGGCCAGCTGCTGTGCTGCTGCTGTCACTCGCTGCCGCCAACAACTGTTGGTGAGGGATCTTTTAGGGGAGTCTCTCGCAACAATCCAGCATCAAGGAGCGCTCAGCCACACTGTTAAGCTCCCTGACGAGGCATGATCAGCTCCAGGTGTGTGTGATCCTCCTCCACAGGTGCTCTGTCACACCCACACAAACCCACCTATACACAAACACATGGAAAACAAAGGACAGCAGCAACAAAAATACACATGTCCATACTTATTCAAAAACCCTGGGTCCTTCAGACCCAGGCACGTGCCAAATCAACTTTCCCGTCTGAGCCTAGTTTGTCTTTACAACTTTCCAATGCGATAGCTTTTCATCATATACTTTCCACCATATTAGATGAAAGTTAGTGATAGAGTTAATGGTTTCAGAAAAAAAGGAGGCCAGCTTTATTCTTTTATTCTGTCCATCTCAATTTTACCGTGTGCTCTTCACATTATCATACTCATCAACCATTTTTCACTAGAGAGAATATACAAATCGTTGATGAAAGATGTGTATTATTATTATGTTTTAATTTACAGACAAAATTACAATATCCAATTAGCCCTGTAGAAATCACAATCAAGGAAGGGCTTAAACAACAACCCTCATAAAATTCTTAAGAAGCTTCAACTTTTGAAAATTCTCTTTAAAACTTAAGCTGAAATAAAATGTCATAACAGTTATTATTCAATCTTTGATAT